TGCCAAATCTGCTCCGCTGCGTTCCAAGTGTCTTTGCATGCTAGTTTTGGTGTTTTTGGAAGAAGACAAGTTTTCAAAAATAGTTTGAAATTGCTAGTTATTCTATGCGTTTTTGTGATTTTGCAATCTTCACCCATTTGATCGCGGTAAAGTATTTCTTTTGCAGTTGCTGCGGTCATTTATTCCTTGTAAATATTTCAGGGCTGTTTGATATCCAAACATGGTGTTGATCTCGGCTAGCATAGTTTCCAAGTCGGGCAAAGGTGAGCTTTCAATTGTTAATTACGATTTCTTGACTTTTCTAGCTTTCTCTTTACCATTACAACTTTTATTCTCAAAATCTCGCCTTTAGCCCTTGTCACACGAGTATTCGTGTCGGATATGACACGTGCCCGCATGGAAGGACTCCTCGATGCTTTTCCTAAGCTTATTGGTAACGATAAGGACTCAGGTAGCTCGTCTTCGTGAATTTTCAAGATTCTATCTATGATTTTTCCCATTACGTTTGTTCCTTGTGTTATCCAGAATAAGCATGTGAACCTTATCAGTTTTGATTGATCAGTTTTGCTTCAGAGTCATCCAAAGCAGGTTAGTTGCCCAAATTATCATATGTGTGGTCATCACACTTTCCGCTCAACTTGCCCACACTAAACTCTGTTTTTGCACATTTTGTGTCTAACATGTCATTTCATACAGCTATTTTCTGTTGCTGCTTTCGGGATGGTTATGGGATGTGCGGTCTTATACGGAAAATTCTATGTATCAACACTTGTCGGAAGTAGTGCGATTTCAGCACAACGCCAGCACACTTTCATCGAAACTGACAGCGTACGCTATGTCTACCATCCTCTGGACAATCTTTACATGGTTTTGATTACTACGAAAACATCAAACATACTTGAGGATCTTGAAACTCTCAGACTTTTTTCGCGTGTGGTAAGTCGATTTGCCGGTAAAATCCGACTTTTCCTCAAAACTGCGCAGCTTAGATTCCCGAATACTGTCGGTCAAACGATGAAAAGGAGATTCTGGCGCACGACTTTGATTTGATCTTTGCATTCGATGAAGTTGTCACTCTTGGATACAGGTGTGTCTAAACTCTCTTATTCCGTATCTTGTTCTGTTCAATACTATACGTGTTCTATGGTTGTAACGAACGGAAATTTCCTCGGATGAACTAATATGGAATAATTGATTTTTAAATTTTTTACGAACGAATGAGTATCGAATAATTTCGTTTCGAGAATTTTTCGAACCAACGAATATTATTCGATTTCCGATTTTTAACTCGAGTTCGAATATTCAAATATGGGCACATTTCAAGTCAACCGACTGAGTACTCGAATGACCAGACTTGATCGAATATCTGAATGCGATGTTCGAATGATCGAATGCAGTATTCGAATAATCGAATATTCGAGCAACTGTTTTCCATACTTCTCGAATATTCGAATAACGGTCTTC